TAATTTTATATATTATACTTTATATATATTAACTTTTTTAATAAGAACGTTATTTATAAAAGGCTGTTTTTGAGAAAGAAATCCACATAGTGTTTTGCAGAAAGAATCAGAGATCCAGATAAATAGTCCTTTAGGTTTAGAAAAGTTGGTTTGTGCAATTCCAGATATGTAGGGAAGTAGATAACAAAAATTATGCAGACATTTCATGTTCTATAAGCATTGAAAAAGGCCAAATAACAGCAATGTGTTCATGCTTTATAGAATCACAGAATGACTATGGTTGAAAAAGACCTTCCATATCATTACGTCCAACCGTATACCCATCACCACCATGCCTGCTAAGCTGTGTCCCTAAGTGTCTCATCTGCACGTTTCTTGAACTCTGCAGCTGACAATAATGTTTTAGTTAAATAAACAACCGTTTTCCTTGCTTTCACTGAGTATCGCTTTGCCGAGTGAAATTTTGCTTCTTTTTCTCACTTGTAGATGTGATGTTGAGGATCCACTAGATAAAGTCCTGCCAGCCAGAAGACATCAGCACAAAAGTGAAAGATGCCACACGGGGTCCATGCACAACAGCCACTCGCTTTCCGATGGGGACAGAAAATTAAAAGATAGTCAGGAAGACTTAAAAGCGACAGTGAGTTCTGAGGAGCTGAAAGCCACTGTGAAGGAAAAACAAAAGTCCAGGTCTGGTCTCATCGTCAGAGGAATGATGGCTGGACCAACAGCCAATGCGCCAGAGGTGATTTCCATTCCTTACAAAATATATAGTTTGGCCATGCATTTTATATATAACTTCTTCAATAAAGTCATTTGCAAATGTTATCACAATAAATTCTGCATGTTAACCCATTTAATCTTCAGTCTGTAAATACGTGGTAAGTTAAGGCAGGGATTCTGGTTACTTTAGAAATAAAAACTCTTGGAGAAACAACCCAAAGGAAGAACACACAAACTATCTTCAACAAATCTGTGATTTTTAGTTAAAGAACGTCCTTACAAATTTGTTTTCCATTTTCAGGATATTATTTCTCTTGACAGCTGGGATTTTCCATTTTCCTCAGGAAATTGCTTTTTTTCCTTTAGCTTGTAAAGCTTTCCTAGATATATGATTTCCTCAGACCTCACGTTTCATCAGTAGGAGTCTGTGGTTCAAAAACTACTCTCAGTTATGAAGTGCTTTCACTTTTTACAATTCTCCATCAGTAAGTGTTTAAGAAAACTCTAAAGTTCATTCCTCTTTTTTCTTCCTTTATACTGCTTAAGCAGAAACTTTCACTGTGTAAAATTCCTCCTGTAAAAATGAGAATCTGAGACATCTTCAGCATGTAATTTGGATAATTCTGAAAGGAATGTGGAAGATAAGTGTATTGATTGGATATTTCTAAGTATCTTCCATTTGGAAATAAAGACTAGGTATCTGTAATGGAGAGTTTTTCTCATAAAAGATCTTATAGGTCTTGATTTTCTTCAAGTTGAGTACAGCCCCAAAATGAAGTTTATTTGAGGTATTATGTTGATGTTCTTGGATGAAAGAAATAACTTTATAAAGACATGGGACAGTTTGAAGCCTTTTTAATAGTCCCTGAATTTTATGTGAAACTGTATTTCTCTTCTTATTTATTATCCCAACATAATTTACTATCTCCCTGATTCCTAAAAATGAGCAAATTGTTTAACGCAGAAGTTAGTGATAGAAATTTCCATGGCTTTTGGTGTTCATTTGAAGATACTTGAAATTTAATGTATGGTTTTAATTCCTAGGATTTGCAAAAGAGGAGGCTTTCAAAACGATCCATTAGCACAAGCAGTACAGGACAATTCAAAGGTGAAGAACATGCAAAAATTGACCTCAGTCTCCCAAGTACCAATTCTCAAGAAAGCAAAGGACCTTCAACACAATCCATAAGTTCCTTATCTTCACACAGTGATGGGGCCTTGAAAGGAAATACAGAACTGTCATCAAAAACTTCGTTGAGCTCACACACAAGTTCAGCCTGTGAAAAACTAAGAAACTTCCCCAAAGATCCAGAAGACTCTTTTGCCCAACTGCTGTCTGAAAGAGAAAGGACTAAGATGGAAGAAAGAAAATCTTTTCCAAGCTTTGATGTGGATGGCAATGAAAAAAGCCTTAAAGTGAATGCTCTTCACAGGCATTCAGGGCCTGGTAGAGACAAGAGAGAAAGATCCCTCAAGAAAAACGAGCTTCGCGTGTCAGGCCACAGGTAAGAACATCTGTAAAAATGTTATACTGAAAGGTCCAGAAAGTGATGGAGAACGACGGGTGACCGAGATTTGCTTTCTCTTTTTCCTTTCTGTTACTTTCCAGGAAAGGCAGCTGGAAGAGGTGAAGAAAATGAAAAGGAGATTAAATTTTAGTATCTCTTTTATTAACTTTAACATCCTTTTAACGTTTTACAGTGCTATGTTGCTGCATATTGATCACAGAGATTTAGAGGGCCTCCCTCCATGAGCTCCAAATACGGATTTTTGACTTTTCTCTATCTTTTAGCTGTTTAGATGATTTCTTTGTGGACATCCAGATTATCTGCAGATCTGAAGAGTGGGAATTGTGAGGTTTTGTTTATTCGAGGGAAGCTAAAGCAGCAGGATCCAGATTGCAGCATCTCTTAGCTGTCCTTGTAGCAAGGCTGTGACTTGGGCTAGGGTCTGAACTTGAGCCCATGCTGAGCTCCAAGCTCCTGGAAACTCTCACTGACATTGGCAGGACTGCTAATATACCTGATGCTAAGTGGAAATAACAGAGCGTGGAAGTGAAGCCCGTACAGTGTATCTTGCAAAATTTTGGGGAAATCATTCAGTATTTAAGAGTTTTTTCCGCACTTTAATCAGAGCACTTCACCATTTTGAGGCATCTAATTTTATACAGTTTAACATTGGGTATTTATCTGGGTCCTCTTCCCTTTTCTTGTTATTACTACCTGGCTCCACTCATATAGGTGCAAATCCTACTGTTCAGATGTAGGCGAAACTCTGGGATTAACCACAGCTAGTTCATTCATAGGCATCTGCAGTTCTTGTTTTGTTTCCTATAACAAAAGGAGGACAAACTAATCTTATTTTTCTTTCCGTTTGTTTTACTTCTTCCTTCTCTTTTACCACATGTGAAAAAGTCCTGTTGTTATCCCCAGGGTGCAGCCTTGCATTGCCACCATATGAGCTGGAAAATAAAATAAAGTTGCTGCTCTGCTTCGAAAGACAATCTGAATCACTGAATAAAAGCTTAAAAACTGAGTGGGCAGCAATGTCTAGCTAAAAAGGTACACTGATGAAATGCAGATCGCCTTGTATTTTGACTCACACATTTTGACAAAAGAAATTATGAACATGGCTGTGTGCTTCTTATTCCATCAGCCATCCATAATTCGTACCCAGGGCATGAAATGTGTGTGGGGGTGGAAACATACGTCCAGAAATCAGCCTTGTAACTGTTGATATTCTGATATTACTGCATTAACATTAAATTAGACCTAGAGTAGTTTGGTAATAACTGCAGTTGGCTTTTTAAAACATCATTAAAGATACCTTAATTAAGACACATTAATTGTGATAAAATACTGACTTTTTTTTGGTAAGAAACCACTTGCTATTTAGTTCAATATACTCCAGGCTTAATGTGGATTCCCTTGCAGACATAATTGCGTTTAGTACTACCTAATGAGTATATCATATAGCTTTAGAGATAGGGATGAACAATAATTTCTCTCCTTCATCTCCATTTAGCGGTGTAGTACTTATAAGTGTAGCATGTGAGTGCTCAGGAAAAAAAAAGACACATAAGGGTTGCAAATAATTAGAAGCATTTATTTTCTTTCTTGTATCACGATGGAACAGATATTTTTTATTTCAATTGACTCAGAAAAGAGCAGTATAAAGGTGGCAGAAAATCTTTGTGTAGCTTCCGCTGTAAACAAACAGCAACTAAATTAATTTGGATTTAATTTCTTAGTTCATCCTAGGTTTGTCTTGTACCACATTTGCTGAGGTGTTTGTGATGGTCACTGTGCTGGTCTCTGGAAACCCTAGGCACACAAAGCTGTTACAAGAAGGATATTATACTAAGAGCTTTAAACTTATTTTCCCTCAGCACTCTGAGCACTCAGATGTCTATTCCAAGTCTTTGGTGTTTAATAACTTAGACGTAACACTTGAGAGGCCAGGGTACACTTCTTATTTTCTGCTTAAATTACAAATATACATAACGTTAATTAAGAGCAAGAAATGGAGAAATTTTATATTTTAATGGAGTGGAGTTTATATTTAATGGCATTCATATTTAATGGAATATTTTAATGGAGAAATCATGGAACTGAAATAATTAACAGTGAATTAATTTATGGTATTTTCCATGTGGCTTTTTTAAATCTTGCAAGGCTAGAGTGTTGGTACCTTTTCTTGTTGTATAAACTAAAGTAATTATATATAACATTCCTATTATTTGACTCTTGAATCTTTTACTATGTTTCTCTCTCTCCATGCACCCCTATAATCCAGTGTTTGAATGCTGATATCAGACTGCAAACTACATGAAGTTAATGATTCTTCCTTGCCCCTTCATTAAAAAAATGTATCTTAACGAGTGCAAAATGACACATAATTATCAATGCAGAATTAGAAACTCCATCTATCAGTTCAGTCATTTTGATGCCCTTGTTTATAATTATAATCCAAAGAGTATTTCCAAGTAAAAAGTTACTATATCTGTAGTTATGATTTTGTGTCTCAAAGCACTGCAAATTCCACAGGAATTTCAGAGAGATGATTTTGAAGGAGTGTATTTATATCAAAAGTAATAAACTATTGAAGACCTTCCTGAGCATTTTAACCTTGGAGACCTTGACTGGTAATGTGTAAGGATTCTGTGTTACCACCAATGTATTTTCCTTAATGATGAACCATTTCTAGCAAGGAAGTATTTATCACTGTGCACAGAATAAAGAGTGAGGGCCTACAGTGGAATGGAATTTGTGACCTTTGGGACCTGTAAAAAAAGAAATAGCTGTTGAAGTTTTTGCCTGACCTGAGATTGAAATCATTGTATTGCCTTCTGCAGAAAACTCACAATGAATAATGAGTTACTGAGGAAGGTTGCGTGGTGTTAGAAGGTCAAAACTTCCCCTTCTTCACAGCTTGAGCAAACAAACTTGGGGAAAAGAGAAGTAAAAGCACTTCATAACAGTTGAGAAACAGTTCTTTTGTCCCAGCTAGAGAGACATACTGCACTTATTGCTCATGCAGCCTCCAAAGTTGAAGTGCCCTCTTAATTTTCAATGGCCCTTAGTTCTACCAATGTAAGATTTGGTGGTGATGTGGAAACCCTGCAGTTCTGAGGTGAATAGTTGCTGAATGAGTAGGTCTGAGCTGGCAAGCTGCGTCCTGCCTGGGTGCAGGGAGGCCGCTCTCCTTAGCCGGAGCTACACGGGCAGATTTTACAGCAGTTTCCTTTTCGGTAGTTAAGAACCACAAAATTATGACACGTCTGAACTTTCTGTTTCAGAGTGTCTTGCAATTTCGTAAAAATTAAAAGGGAATTATTATCAGGAAGGCTACAAGAAATGGAAACATTGCTGCTTAAGAGCAAAAATTTCCTTCCTGCATTAGCAAGCCGAAGGATGGGATGGTAGATCCTATTGTCTGAAGTCAGAGATCAATGATACGTTTGAGGTATAAGGAAGTTAATTGATTCTCTCTCTATCCCCTCATTGTGAACAGTTGCCCAATTCTTTATCCTGTTCTTCTGGGTGCTCCTGCCACCTCCTCCCTCACCTTCCCGCCAGTCCTGGCTACGAGTTGAGTGTGACCTAGTGATTTCCCTTCAGAAGTCTGCCAATGCGGATGGGAATTTCAGACAGTAGAGGCTGTTCAATGAGTGCATGGTTTGGCTTCAGATGCCTTTTCCAACCAAAACCCAAGTATCTCTGATGTTTTTCACCTCCATCAGCAAGAGAACAAGTGCCAATGATTCCAGAGGCAGAAATTCCCTCCTTACAGTACAGTCTCTCAGCTCAGTTTGCCCTAGGTGTGCACTCCTTAGTTGTTCCAAAAATATTACTGGTTATTTTGGTCATAAACCCTTTTCTAGCAGTGCTTTGCATTATAACACAAATTGGGTAGTGTTAGTGAATTACCATAGATACAAAGCACTTTAGTGGAACATTACTCATATTTCATAGAACTGTATAAAATGCAGATGGAAAAGACTTTTAAGGTCATTCATTTCTACAGCAGATTGTTATGTGTGTACATGTACATGTATGTATTCACTGTAAAACTTTTTCCAGGGCTTTGTCCAGCCTAAAGTGACTCAAGTGACACTTCTCCTACAGGAATATACTCCAATGTCTAATAGTCCTTAGTTTTAGGATATTTTACCTTATAGTCACACCACGTTTTTCTGCCTTTTAGCCCAAAGCTAAAGTTGTTTTGGTGACCGATTTTTCTTTGCAACATATTCACTTGTATTAAAATATTTCTAGATATTTTTCATGTTACTTTAGGCACTTTTTTGGGTCCAAAGTTACTATTGCCTGCTTATATTTTTATCTTTCCTTCTCTAGAATTTAACTGTTGTTTTTCAGTTAGGATATTATTAATTTGTCTTATATTTCTTCCATGTATTTAAGGACTGCTATAACTTCATAGCACTGCGTCTCTGACTACTGCAGTGTAAAGATAGTCAGCCTCTGCTCAGGACATGATTCTCATCATGACATTATAAAATCACATTCATACATGTGTCATTGCAGCATATCACAGGCTTATGCCCTCTTATTTTGTTTCAGACACATTGCTTGTAAAATCTGGCCTCAGTGTTCTAGGTGTTTTTCTCCAAAATGCCCTGTGTTGGCCAGCATAATTTTGAAAACATTCTAATCTTCAGTAAGGCAGTAAGGATCCCCATTTCCTGGGAGAGAGACCTCTTCTACTTAGCAGCCCTGCATTTCTGGGCTTGCTTGTCTTGTCTATCCTGAATGGAGACTAGTATAGGTGAATTCATTGTATTCTCCTGCTGA